GCATGGCGTCAATGGACACCCGCCGATGTACGCGAAGGACTGGCCGGCCTTGACTGGAGAGGACTGCTGACTGCTGATGAGCTGAATCCGCCAGAGATACAAAAGTAGCAACCAGCACGGGCACGAGGGCGTCGAAGCGCCGTAACTATCCCGGGGAATAGTTGTGAGATCTCTGGAAGAGCAAAAGATTAAACAGGAAGCATGAGGACGGACACAATGAGCGTACGCACCTGAGTGAACCTGTCGGCGATCAGTGATAGACAACGCGAGGGCGGGGGTAAATAGTTCAAGACACAAGTGAGTCCTCAAATCAACGAAGTCGAAAATGAGACAACATAATTCGTCCGTTGGCATCCCAGGCTCGGAAATGTCGCGTTCGTTATAGACACACAAGCTTCAGAATTACAACATTCAGCTGAGGCATTTGCAATGGCTGGAAGCGAAATGAGTCGTTCATGGCGAACATGGCGACAAATAACTCATAGGCGAAAGTTACCTTGCCCAATCACGAACACGATGTGTCATACCCAGCGAGGGTCACAGTGCACCACACTCATGAACTCGGCAGACTCACGAAGGTCAGCAGATTTGCCGCCCCGTGTGCTGCTACACCGCACACTGGCCATCGTGACGCGATGTGCGCGCACCGGCCGAGCAACAGTCACGACAGAGGGGTAACTGCTGCAGTTTGACCGGATCTTATGGCCTCGGAGGCGCACGTTCGGTGTAAACCCACAACGGTCGTTGGTGGAGGAGAACACTGTGTCTGGGCGTGATATGTGATATAAGATTGGAGAACATGAGCCACTTGTTCGCCGGAGATGGAACGAACGTTGAGAGTAAAGGGCCTGTAAGGCAGCGGCGGCTGTGGGGATCCAGCGCTTGTCGAAGCTGTACGCCCAAGTGCCTGGTCTCGAACTGTTTCGTGCAGCCTGACGTATAAAATGGCGCGCACGCCTGCTTGGTCTTCTTCACCATTTGCTCTCATCTCCAAGCTTCACGACTCACCCTCATT